GAGGCAGGATCTGGGCGAGGCAGGATCAGGGCGAGGCAGGATCAGGGCGAGGCAGGATCAGGGCGAGGCAGGATCAGGGCGAGGCAGGATCAGGGCGAGGCAGGATCAGGGCGAGGCAGGATCAGGGCGAGGCAGGATCAAGGCGAGGCAGGATCAAGGCGAGGCAGGATCAGGCGAGGCAGGATCAGGACGAGGCAGGATCAAGGCGAGGCAGGATCAGGGCGAGGCAGGATCAGGGCGAGGCAGGATCAGGGCGAGGCAGGATCAGGGCGAGGCAGGATCAGGGCGAGGCAGGATCAGGGCGAGGCAGGATCAGGGCGAGGCAGGATCAGGGCGAGGCAGGATCAAGGCGAGGCAGGATCAAGGCGAGGCAGGATCAGGCCAGAGTAACCAACTCACGCCCCAGGCCGCCCTCCCTCACCTTCTTTTCCAAGTTTCCAGTTATTTGTGGGGGAAAATGTTTAAGTTTTCTCGAATATGAACAGTATTTTGTCCATTCCTCAGAAAACTACCCCCAGCGGTTAACTAACAGCCAAGTACCTATTTACTGCCAGGGGAACAGATGCATCAGGTGTGAGGCGATGCCCCTAATCTTTCACTAATACCCCAACCAGTGGAGGAGACGCCACCATCAAGAAGGCTCACTCACTCACTCACTCACTCATTCACTCACTCTCTCTGAATTAAAGTTACCGTGTTTGGCATTAAAAATACGAATCACTAGTTGACGATACAGTAATGTCTCTGTGAAAGAAGTTGATTATAAAATTGTTACAATCATAGCAATCAATGTGGTTGGGCATCATTCATTCATTACTTCCTTATCGTCCAGCTGCTTATCTATATAACCCAGCTCCTTGTCCTCATCTCCTAGCTCCTTGTCCACATATCCCAGCTCCTTGTCTTCATATCCCAGCTTCTTGTCCACATATCCCAGCTTCTTGTCTCCATATCCCAGCTCCTTGTCCACATATCCCAGCTCCTTGTCTCCATATCCCAGCTCCTTGTCTATATATCCCAGCTCCTTGTCCACATATCCCAGCTCCTTGTCCACATATCCCAGCTCCTTGTCCACATATCCCAGCTCCTTGTCCTCATCTCCCAGCTCCTTGTCCTCATATCCCAGCTCCTTGTCCACATATCCCAGCTCCTTGTCCACATATCCCAGCTCCTTGTCCACATATCCCAGCTCCTTGTCCACATATCCCAGCTTCTTGTCCACATATCCCAGCTCCTTGTCCTCATATCCCAGCTCCTTGTCCACATATCCCAGCTCCTTGTCCACATATCCCAGCTTCTTGTCCACATATCCCAGCTCCTTGTCCACATATCCCAGCTCCTTGTCCACATATCCCAGCTCCTTGTCCACATATCCCAGCTCCTTGTCCACATATCCCAGCTCCTTGTCCACATATCCCAGCTCCTTGTCCACATATCCCAGCTCCTTGTCCACATATCCCAGCTTCTTGTCCACATATCCCAGCTCCTTGTCCACATATCCCAGCTCCTTGTCCACATATCCCAGCTCCTTGTCCACATATCCCAGCTTCTTGTCCACATATCCCATATCCTTGTCCACATATCCCAGCTTCTTGTCCTCATATCCCAGCTCCTTGTCCTCATATCCCAGCTCCTTGTCCACATATCCCAGCTCCTTGTCTTCATATCCCAGCTCCTTGTCTATATATCCCAGCTCCTTGTCCACATATCCCAGCTCCTTGTCCACATATCCCAGCTCCTTGTCCACATATCCCAGCTCCTTGTCCTCATCTCCTAGCTCCTTGTCCACATATCCCAGCTCCTTGTCCACATATCCCAGCTCCTTGTCCTCATATCCCAGCTCCTTGTCCACACATCCCAGCTCCTTGTCCTCATATCCCAGCTCCTTGTCCTCATATCCCAGCTCCTTGTCCACATATCCCAGCTCCTTGTCTTTGCATGCCTTACATATGCTATACTCATACTGGCTTAGCGCTTTCTCCTAATTACGTTACATTAAACAATTGTGAAAAAAAATTCTTCTCGCAAGCCATTCAAAGATCTTTATAAAAAATATATAATTTTCCGTTTTGTTTTTTAAGTAATCTTGACCCCCCCCTCTCTCTCTCTCTCTCGTCATCTTCTTCCCATTCTTGTTCGTTCACAAGTATTTGCCTCTTTCTTCTAAGAGTTTGCGCATCCCTGTCTTCCATTATTCTCCGCACACCTTTATTTATTTTTGTTTCAATCAAGATTTTCCCGCCAAATATTTCCTCTGCCATGACCTGACACCACCATCACCACCACATTTCCACCACCATCACCACCACATTTCCACCACCATCACCACCACATTTCCACCGCCATCACCACCACCATCACCACCACATTTCCACCACCATCACCACCACATTTCCACCACCATCACCACCACGTTTCCACCACCATCACCACCACATTTCCACCACCATCACCACCACATTTCCACCACCATCACCACCACCATCACCACCATATTTCC